TTTTTTTTTTTTTTTTCCACAGCAAGAAGAAACGAAAGGGTGTGGGGGATGAGTTTAGTTTTAAGATGAAGCATCAAAATAATAGTACACTTTAGAAAGAGTAGCTCTCTATGGAGGCAGTATCATCCCCTAGGGTGGCTTTCAGGTTGTCCTCATAATTGGTGGCAGTGAGTCAAGGATGCCTGCCATTCTTCAAAGAGGCAAGGAAGCATTGTTCTCAATCCAGCATAAATTTCAAATATCCCGCCAGACCAAACATTAGAGGGAAAACCTACTTATAAATTAACTGATCATAGAATCTCCTTCAGCTTTATATTCCCAAAATATTTTACATGGTTTTAATATGCACTTATTTTTTCCATGATTGTGATGACCATATAAACAAAAAAAGTTTGAGCTTTGGTTTAGTCAGAGCTTCTCTAAGAGTCATTCACTGTTTCAGAAAAGTATTTCACCAACGATGGCAATGCTGCTAATGCTTTCTGAGTTACCAATATGACACGCTCATGTTATTCTGCATTTGTAGCTGTCACATCCATGATGACTGCATTCACAGGCTTAAGAATCTATTTTCATTATCTTTGACTACTTAGGAGTGCCTGAGAATTTGTATGTTGTAATATATATTTTCCCTTATTTATTTTTATATTATATTAGGGTATTGCATTCCTTTTTTTTTAAATTAATATATTATCTCAGAAAAGTAAAGGAAATGTTATAATTATTACACAAAGGGCAAAGCACATTAGGTATGACAGGGTGGGAAACCACTTCTTTAAAAACTACAGATACCTAGAATAAAGTAAAATAAAATAAAATGCAGCACTTTGGTTTACCTGCTTACTTGTTGATGCATTTATTTATTTGTTTTTTATTACTTGGAGGGTTTATTTTTACATTAGAAAAAGCACCTGCTGACATTCTTCCTCTCAACGACAATCTTGGGACTACCTATGTCTTTACTTTTATCTTCTTTTCATATTTCACTTTATCTTCCCTGCATGTTACTAGAAATAAAGCTTTTAACATTTCAGAAGGTCAGGTAGCACACACAGGTTCCATCTGCTTTAGTTAAGCCCATATAATCACAGGCCCTTTTGTTGCTTCCCCAGCACTATTCCTCTAGAAGCAGTGAAAATAATCTTTTTTTTTTTTTTTTTGGCAAATTGTGCAGTTGACCTAACATTAAAAACATGCCATGGTTGAATTCTTAATTCCATCAAATGAATTATTCCTTGGTGTACATGGGGTGTTTCTTTGATTATATATTCAGACATCCACAAATCAAAGTAACTCAAGGGCTCCTAGTTTTTTATATCTTTGCCAACTTTTTTTTTAGACAGAAGGGGAAAAAAATTAAAAATTCCCATCATATTTTTCCATTTGTGATGTTCTAATTTTTACTGCATGCAAGCCGATAATCAGTCATTGTCAGGGTAAGCACCTCCTGATTTTTCCAAGATGAAATGTATAAACAGTGATGATGATCAAAAACAGACTAATGTGAACCATGTTCATCTGAATATCATCCTGGAGCAAAGGTTATTTGATCTGCACCTTGAAGGATGAATGAGTAAAGAGAAATTAAAAGTTTAAAATGGTAAAACAATATGATCAGTTTTGTGATACAGATAATAATTCTGGCAATAATTCTGACTGTTATCTTTTCCTCACGAATATGATGAAGCTGGTAAACTAGGCAGGCCTCTTCCTTAAAATTAAACAACAGCAGCAGCAAAAAAAACAAAAGACCCTACCAACCTTAACCACATAGTTATACAAAATTATGCTTTACTTATTCAAAATATATTAATTGCATTCTTCATATGTACTAGGCACGGTGCTAGAGACTTGTTGTTCCTGTTAGGTGCCACTGAGTCAGTTCCAACTCATAGCAACCCTAAATACAATGTTAACAAAATGCTGCCTGGTCCTGCGCTATCCTCACAATCATTGTTATGCTTGACCCCACTGTTGCAGGCACTGTGTCAATCCATCTTGTCGAGGGTATTCCTCATTTTCGCTGACCATCTACTTTACCAAGCATGATGTCTTTCTCCAGGGACTGGTCTCTCCTAATAACATGTCCAAAGTATGTGAGATATAGTCTTGACATCTTTGCTTCTAAGAAACATTCTGGCTCTACTTCTTGCAAAACAGATTTGTTCATTCTTCTGGCAGTCCATCCGTGGTATATTCAATATTCATCGTCAACACCATAATTCAAAGGCATCAATTCTTCTTTGGTCATCCTTATTCATTGTCCAGCTTTCGTGTGCATATGAGCTGACTGAAAACCCTATAGCTTGAGTCAGGCACAACTTAGTCTTTAAAGTGATATCTTTGCTTTTTAACCCTTTAGGTTTTTTGCAGCAGATCTGCCCAATGCAATACATCATTTGATTTCTTGACTGCTGCTTCCATGGGTGTTGATTGTGGATCCAAGTAAAATGAAATCTCAACAACTTCAATATTTTCTCTGTTTATCATGATGTTGCGTATTGGTCCACTTGTGAGGATTTTTGTTTTCTTTATGTTGAGGTGTAATCCATACCGAAGGTTGTGGTTCTTGATCTTCATCAGTAAGTGCTTCAAGTCCTCTTCACTTTCAGCAAGTAAGGTTTAATCTGTGTAACAGAGGTTGTTAATGAGTCTTCCTCCAATCCTGATGCCGCTTCTCAGATTATTTGTTCATCATACAGATTAAATATGGTGAAACTATACAACCCTCAAGTACACCTTTCTTGACTTTAAATCATGCAGTATCCCCTTGTTCTTTTTGAACGACTACCTCTTGATCTATGTACAATTTCCTCATGAGCACAATTAAATGTTCTGGAATTCCCATTCTTCACAATGTTATCTATAATTTGTTATGATCCACACAGTTGAATGCCTTTGCACAGTCAATAAAACACAGGTAAAAATATTTCTGGTATTCTCTGGTTTCAGCCAGGATGCATCTGACATCAGCAATGATATTCCTTGTTCCATGTCCTCTTCTGAATCTGGCTTGACTTTCTGGAAGTTCCCTGTTAATGTACTGTTGCAACTGCTTTTGAATGATCATCGGCAAAATTTTACATGTGTGTGATGTTAATGATATTGTTTGATAATTTCTGCAGTCGGTTGCATCACCTTTCTTTGTAATGTGCACAAATATGGATCTCTGAGTCAGTTCGCCAGGTAGCTGTCTTCCAAATTTCTTGGCATAGACTAGTGAGCACCTTCAGTGCTGCATCCGTTTGTTGAAATATCTCAATTGGTATTCTGTCAGTTCCTGGAGCCTTGTTTTTTACCAATGCCTTCAGCGTAGCTTGGATCTTCCTTCCGTACCATCGGTTCTTGATCATATCTTACTTCTCCTGAAATGGCTGAACACTGACCAGTTCTTTTTGGAACAGTTACCCTGTGTATTCCTTCCATCTTCTTTTGATGCTTCCTGCATCATTTAATATTTTCCCCGTAGAATCCTTCAATATCGCAACTCGAGGCTTGAATTTTTTCTTTAGTTCTTTCAGCTTGAGAAATGTCAAGCATGTTCCTCCCTTTTGGTTTTCTATCTCCAGGTCTTTGCACATTTCATCATAATACTTTATTTTGTCTTCTGGAGCCGCCGTTTGAAATCTTCTGTCCAGCTCTTTTACTTCATTTCTTCCTTTCACTTTAACTATTCTAAGTTCAAGAACAAGTTTCAGAGACTCTTCTGACATCCATTTTGGCCTTTTCTTTCTTTCCTGTCTTTTTAATGACCTCTTGCTTTCTTCATGTATGATGTCCTTGATGTCATTCCACAACTTGTCTGGTCTTCAGTCATTAGTGTTCAATGGTCAAATCTATTCTTGAGATGGTCTCTAAACTCAGGTGGGATATACTCAAGGTCATACTTTGGCTCTTGTGGACTTGTTTTGATTTTCCTCAATTTCAGCTTTAACTTGCATATGAGCAATTGATAGTCTGTTCCACAGTCAGCCCCATCATTGTTCTGACTGACAATACTAAGCTTTTCCATCGTTTTTTTGCACAGATGTAGTTGATTTGATTCCTGTGTATTCCATCTGGCACGGTCTATGTGTATAGTCACCATTTATGTTGTTGATAAAAGGTATTTCCAATGAAGAAGTCATTGGTCTTGCAAAATACTGTCATGCAATCTCCGGTGTCCTTTCCATCACCAAGTCCATATTTTCCAACCACCAATCCTTCTTCTTTGTTTGCAACTTTCGCATTCTAGTCCTTAGTGCTGGACACTAGGGATTAATCCTTAGTGATAAACACTAGGGATTAAAAAAAAGACAGTCTCTCCATCCCAGAAGTTCCCATCAAGAAAGAAAAACATATATCCATGTGATAAGTACTGTAAAAGAAGATATGACGAAGTATAGCAATATCTTAGTTTACATTCTAAGGGAGGTAATCAGGTGGGCCAAAGAGAGCAAGGGTAAAGGTATATTTGGGGGCAGTGGTGGCTCCCTTCCATGCAGGAGACTAAGGTTAGATTCCCAATCAATGCACCTGAAGAGCAGCCACCACCTATCTGTCAGTGGAGGCTTGTGTGTTGCTGTGATACTAAACAGGTGTCAGTGGAGCTTTCAGACATGGCAATCTACCAAAATCAGCCAACAAAAACCCTATGGATCACAACAGTTCAATTCTCTTGTGCATGGAGTCTCCATGAGCTGGGGGCTAACTCAGTGACAGCTAACAATAACAACAAAAATGTATTTTGGAAAAAACAGTTTACACACATTAGTCAGGCACAAAGAATGGAAGAGATTATCTACAAAGAAACATGTAAAATGAGAATCCAGTCAGCACTGAAAGCTCCCACAGAAAGAACAAGTAAAGTCGCCCACAAAGCAATTCCACTAGACTTGGCAGTTAGAGGTCATAGGAGTCATTTTCCAGAGCAGTTCCCATGAATGGGGAGGACTGAGCCTTAGTATGGGGGAGATATCATGCAAACTGACACCAAAGCACCACAGTCATTCAATCTTGGCAGTGTAAACCGAAAAACATCATTTTAATACAAACCAAATATTTAAAGAATTGCATGCAATAAAAAAAAAATAAAGGAATAAAAACATCAAGATGGAACAACAAAAGACAGAGTATTTGATAAGTCCGTTTCATTCTAACACTGATTGCAACACTCCTAACAATACAGCATAGGGTATTTCAACGTTGGATTTTAATTTCTATTGTCAGCTTGTGGGTGGCAAGATTTAATTTTTGGCAGTTGACAGCTATACTTGAAAGGGTCCCAAGACCTTAAGTAGGTATCAGCTAGACAGATGGTCAAGATACAAAGATACTCTGCATCTTATTATTTTTTTTCCTCGGGGTCTTTAAAACCAAATGGTGTCATTAGAATGTTAAGGTTATTGAGCATTTGACTACTGGGGTAGTCAAGGTGTTTTCAAAGCTCTCTTTATCCTTCAGTGTCTTTGGGATGAAAGATGACAAAATATTTGATTCACTAAAGATATATGAAAAGGAAAAAGTAAAAAAAAAAAGCTTCTGTTAGGCTTAAAACAAAACTGTCTTTATAAAATAATAAATAATATTTTAAATCAACATTCTTTGTTCATATCAAATAAGTGGCATGCAGGAATAAGGTGAATGGTGGTGGTAACATTTAGGATGTAGTTACAAATCAAATTGCTCATCCTTATAAACAAAATCCCTGAGGCAGCAACATACACATTGAATGCTTTGTACTCTATTGTTAAAGTCCATAAAATAATCTAATTAGTTTGATAAGTAAAATCATAGGAAGGGAACCTTAGGTGGTGATAACCTATTTCATCACATGTATTGAAGTAGAAGGGAATTTATAATAAGATGTTAATCTTTAGTAAAACATAAAAATTTTAGTAATGACACGTCACAAAAATAGTATTTTTCATACTTATAAATAATTAAGAAACCCTAGCATGAAAACTTACCTAGCTCTTCATTTTCAATGACTTCAAATGTGGCCCAGAGATCACCTTTTTCAGGAATGATATTTTTTATCGCTAATATATTGTTAGTCAATTCTTCTGCTTCCATTATAGGTGATATCTTTAAGAAGAGCAAAATTACCTTAGACAATATGTCAAACAAACCAGTAAGCTATGCTAGGGCAATAATACTCCCTATACACCACATTGTTGTTGTTTTAGGTGCTGTTGAGTGGGTTTCGACTCATCGCGACCTTATGTATAATACAACAAAACTTTGCCCAGTCCTGCACCATCTTCACAATCACTGCTATGTTTGAACCCATTGTTGCAGTCAATGTGTCAATCCATACAGCATATCTGGATGCCCCAAGTTTCTTCCTAATATGTTTAACTAGCTTCTCTATCCACAAAGAAAAAACAGCATCTTCAGATCTTTTATAAAATGTAATACATTTTAATGCAAATGCAAAAAGATATTATAACACAGACATAATCAGGAAGGATGCTTTTCTCTGAGTGAGCAATCAGATCATTCAGGAGGGAAGACTGTACCTAGTTACACACAGAAAGGGAGTCCAACTGTCTTCTAGCAGTAAAACTTTTCACTCATCAGTTCTATAATCAACAGTTCACAGTGGCTTGGTGTATATTCAGTCTGGGCCCTAAATGATACAGTCAATTGCAGTCCCATCATGCCAAAAGGCCCAGGGTTTTAGTGGTCTGAGATGTACATGTCATGCCAAGTGGCAGAAGGTGGGATACCAAAGCATGCTGGAGCCAGGATTTCAGGTCATAGGGCAGAGTCTGCACTGCCAGCCCAGGGTATAGCTCAACAAGAGTCTCCAACCTCAGGCCATTGTGTAAGCACACCAATCTCTTCAGGGACTTTTGGTATTTTTGGTTCATTTTTTCATGTTTTTATTTTTGCCAATCTTAAGTGCATGCTAGCCAAAAGCAAGCTGGCTTGCTTCAATTAGAATTTAGTGATAATGTTAAACAAATAGATGTTTCAAGAATTAGAATACTGCATCTTTAACTTAGTTTGCACAACTCAGCAAAAGTATGTTACTACTAAAAAAATGTATTCAAAAAAGAAAGTCATTTCCATTTCTCCTACCCATTAGTGCTCATAAGCATATTGCACACATACAAATCACAAACGTTTTTCATTACAGGTAACTCATCCAGTCTATCTTTTGTACTTCATGGAATTTGGTGCTTTCTTTGGAATATATTAATTACACCATACAGTCCAATGCATTCTATTTAGAAAAGCCCAATGAAATATAAACTCCAAACAAAACAAAAACAGGATCTGGAAAAAGTGGAGGACTTGAAGCAGTAAGAAACATTAGTAGATGACTCATTTCAATGATGCTGTTCATCTGCATGTATTTCAAAACTATAAGAAGTATAGCCCTTTCTTAAAATAATTAAATTATTAAGAAACCAAATTTGTAAAATAGGTAGGTAGGGAGTGTCTCTGGTTGAAACAGGAATGGAAGAAATGAACTACACTCTTAGAACACCTCGATTTTACAGAGCAGTTTGGAAATCATTACTCTAAGGATAACACAGATCAGTACAATGAACATCAGGTTTGAATTATGAAGACTCAAGTTTGAGTACTAGCCATAATTTTTTTTTTCCTAGTTTCCATTCGTACAAATTTGGGACATCACTTGCTTCAAATACCTCTTTGGAATGAGGTAATGATTATCCGACACAAATATAACTAAAGGCCTTTACAAAGTCTTAAGAAATAAACAAGTGTTAGTAATTATTTCTGTGTAGCTGTTGTTATGTTTTGTAAAAGCATTTGGAGTTGCTAGGTGAAAGTGGACAGTCCTATCTGAATACACCTAAAATAACAGGAGAATTTTGCTCAGTTATAACTTGTTATGGCTCTATAAGAAAGATAAAGTTAAAATGTGCTACTAAAAGGCTTATATGAAGGTAGGGTTAAGTCATGAGGATGGGTGGGACTGGGCAGTGTTTCGTTCTGTTGTGCATAGGGAAACGACTCGACGGCACCTAACAACAACAACAGAGTTAAGTCATATACTCTGAATACTTCTTCTAGCATTAGTGATGGACTTGTGCCCGTTAATCTCTAATAGTTCCTCAATTTCATTATGATCCATATCAAACACTAAGTATAAGAAATATAATATGGCTAAGGAGTGGAGAAAAGGAGCCCTAGTGACGTAAGAGTTAAGCACTTGGCTGCTAACTGAAAGGTTGGCAGTTTGAATCCACCAGCTGCTCCATGGGAGAAAGATGTGGCAGTCTGCTTCTGTAACTATTACAGCCTTAGAAACCCTATGGGGCAGTTTTACTGTGTCCTGTATGGTTGCAGTGAGTTGGAATCGATTCGATGGCCATGGTTTTTTTTTTTTTTTGGGAAAGAGTGGATAGACAACTGCCCAGTAAGGACAAAGCCCATGATTGTAGCACTTAAGCTCTATATTCTAAGTAAGGTTAAGCAGTGCCATAAAGTCATAGTACATATTCATTAAAATTAGATAAATTAACAATTATATTTAACATAACTGAAGTTCAGAAGTACCTAAGGTTGAGACTGTTTAATCCTTGACTTTAAAAAAGATAAGGAGCTAAAGCTGTATCTCTACTGTTACATGGTAATTTATCTATTCCTCACACAGAGAAAGAAGTCTTACTAAGCAAGACCCTGAAATATCACTGTTACTATCCCTACCACAGATTAATTAATGAATATGGTAATGTAAGTAGGATATATTTTTAATTCAGAATAAATGACCAATATTCTCAAGGAGGAAAAGAGTTATCCAATATTCAAGTAAACTGGGAGACTGGCAGCTAAAATTTAGGAGACAAGAGTGGGAGTTTGTTAACAGTATCAGTAGAAGTAATAGTTATTTACTGAACATTAACTACATGCCTAGCAATTTGCTAAGTGTTTTGCATGCCTTATCTTATTGAGTCTTCACATCAATGCTATAATTTTTCTTCATTTTACAGATGAAAAGCATGAGGCTCAGACAGTTGCTTACTGTTAAACAGCTAAGAAGAGAAGAACTACTATTCAAGCTCAGTTATTTTACAGAATCTTTGGAAAATCCTAACCATCACCTAAAGCACATAAGCTGTTCTCTTTCCAAATGACCAAGTCATAGAATTCCAGAGGATACTGGCACGAAAAATCAATCTTGTCATTAATCATGGTTTGAAATGGAGCTGTAACATAAAATGTAAGAAACACTGAGGAATTCAAAATATACGAATTAATTCTAACACTTGTGACTTTCAACAGTACTCTCTGCACCCATCTTCAAGACTCACCGGAATTATAATACTACACTCAGGTTCCTTCCTTTCAACATACACTTCAACTAACAAATCTCCAGCCTGTGAAACCTAGAAAAAGGCAAATGTAAAGAAAGCATCTGTAAGTATGTTGCAAGAATACACATATGACACTTAAGAAGGTTATATTATAAAGTCTTAGTTATGTTTCTATTTGATAATAATGAAAGGAGCTCAATTTCTCTGTTAACAAGTATGAGAATCCCCATATTTCAGATATAGTCAATTTAGGGACAAGGAATCTACACAAATGTTATAAACGGCAACAATCATAATGTAATTTTTAATCTTTTACTCAAGAGTTTAGTGTCCTAGAATACCCTCACATTCTTACTGAAATAATGATTCTGGCTACAACTGAAATATGCTGACTACAACAACAGAAGCTGTTTATGAGTGATCACCATGTATGTTAAGAGGATAACTAAAACGAGGAGAGAAAATGAGCCATATGCAATTCTGCTTTAGGCTGTACTGCAGGCATAATACCAATATTTAAAAGAGAAATTAAGTCCTACTAAATTTTCTAAGAGATGACGTGTCCAAAAAATTGCAAGCATATAAGAATGTATTTTGAAGAAGTCTTAATTATCTGGTATTATAGGGTTAGAAAAGCTTACTTCCAATTTTTCTTCCTCACTTTGGAAGCTACACAAAATATTCTGGGGAAGAAAATACAGCGTTGACATTTTTGCTTTTCACTGTATAAACAACTCTTCAGGAAGGACACATCTTTAAAATTAAAAAAGAAAACACCAAGAACTCATAGAGTGAAGCCAAAATGAAGAATAACTAAGAAATTCAAAAACAAAGGTAAGACAGAGACTGTCAGAAAATACTCAAGAAGAGTTTTGAATGGATTAAAGAAAACATCAAACAAAAGAACCAATTTTTCCAAACTCTTCTACTTTTCTCTCCCAATTACTGTATTTTACAGATAATTCTTTTCATATATTTACTTAAATATACTGATTTAGAAAGCATTCAAGATTTGTTTCTTTATTATAATAGGTATATAAAAGATAAAAACCCAGGACATTCATATTTATCAAAAAGCAATATAAATAACATTGCCAAAGATCATCCCTTAGGCCCATAAAACCCTTTATTTCATGGTTAAAACTCTCCTGAAATGTGAGAACTTAAGAGAATTGATGATGAGCCAGACACTCTAGTGTTAAGGGTAACTGATTTGGAAGCTGCATAAATTACTTTAGGTCAAAACGGAAGAAATATTTCCTTAGGTATTTAATATCATAGAATTAGTACTTGGGAATCTAGGCATTAATAATGGAAGCCTCCTCTATCTAGCCTTCTTCATATAGACTGACAGCTTTGATGACTCTTCTCATTAATAATGGACATTGTAGGACTGAAGAAAAGTTAGGGTCTGACTAATAAGGATGCATTTGCCTCATTTTCTGAGTGTTATCTGTAAACAGAGAACATTTGGAACATTTGAATCATTTCTACTATATACATTGGTACTTGAAATCTAGTATAATTCCCAGTTATTAGACGATTAGTGATAAACCTTAAGAAGCTCCAGTGAATAACCATCAACAAGTAAAGATAGCTTGGAAAAGTATAGTGCAACGTGAACACACAAATTCAATACAGGGTGACTGAGGAGAGCAAGACAGGATCTAGAAAAGCTGACTTAAGACAAAAATTAGCATGTTACAAGGACCACATTAGAAACATTCCAATTAACACAATCATTTAAGAGCATGCAGAGCAAAAGCATATAAGAAACAATTTTATATTTTCTAAGTCATAATGGAAAGAATGATTAAGACTAAGGAGTCTGAATTTTCAATTCATTCCAAAATTTTTTTGGCTTTAGATGCTTCCTTTGAAATCCACTGGCATTTTCAATATTGTTTTTATATATGAAATTTGATTTTATAAAGGAAAACTTCAAAAGATTAATATTGACTTTTCCCTCTATATTTTGAAAAATTTACATAAATATGCTTTGGCATTTTGCATGTATGTATCATGCTGCAGAATTACAGAAAACTACTTTTTCTAGGCTTTTTTTCCCCACTACTTTTAAATTGCTCCCAGTAGGAACTTGAAAAGAAACACAGCAAATATATTCACTTACAATGGAAGGCTATTTATTTATATTCTTTAGAGATCTCACTATTACTACTCACTTGAGTGTCTTTCCACTTGGTAATAAAGCTATTCTCTATGTCCATTTGTTTGACTTGGTCTTCTTTAACCTGTTTAAAATATAATTTGGGAGATTCTAATAATGTAGAACACAAGGATCTATGGTAGTATCCTCAGGTAACTCTTCAGGAATTTAAAAACCAATGGATAAAAATAAATGAGAATGGTCATCTTAACTAACATGGGCCCAGGTATCTAGGGCTAGAGATAAAACAAGAGAAAGTCTAATAAAGTTCAGAATATTTTCTGATGACATAACTTCAGCCTGGAGATTGATAATGGAAGCCCTAATTCTAAGGAGATTTAGTAAGCCAGGAGGCTGATGACTGGTTCCGTAAAGTTTACGTAGTTAACAGACAAAACATTCCTCAAACTGAAATTTTCATTAAGTGCTTATCACACTTCCACCATTCTGTTAAAGCTGTGCTTAGTATGACTATGAAGACAACTACTGCTTTTTATTAATGGGAGAGTACAATAAAATGAGAAAGAAAGAGAGCATGTAAAGCCACACATTGATTTTTTTCTAATTATATAATTTCTCAGCATCAGAATTATTGTAAAAAAGTTGCTATTGATCAAAAACAGTGGACACATATACAGAGAAATAAAAAGGAGATGAAAGAGCAAAGAGTTCAACAATTCTGGTGTCCATTCCTATATAAATTAAGATATACGTACTGTTGTTTTGTTAAAATAGTTCGTTTCTCTTCACAAAGGATTCTTGTGATATTATCTTGTGATAATAATGTGAACACAAAACCTCTGCTGTCGAGTCGACTCTAACTCATAGCCACCCTACAGGACAGAGTAAGAGCTGCCCTATAGGGTTTCCAAGGAGCAGCTGGTGGATTCAAACTCCCGACCTTTTGGTTAGCAGTCGAGCTCTTAACCACTGTGCCCTCTACAAATGGTAACCTATTACATTAACTCATTTGATTTCATCTGACATATCCATACCCCTGAAAGACAAGCAGTCTTATCCAACGGCATTTTATGGAATACTCAGAAAGTCTGGATGACAAAACTGAGGTGATAGAACTAGTTAAGTGATGGAGCTGCAGTTTTGATTCCCCCCAAAAAATCTACCAGGTCCGTTGCCATCAAAGCGATTCCAACTCATAGAGACCCTATAGGACAGAATAGAATTGCCCCATGGGGTTTCCAAGGCTGTAATCTTTATGGAGCAGATTGCTATATCTTTCCCCCAAGGAGCTGCTGATGGGTTCGAACCAGCAACCTTTCAATTAGCAGTCAAGCACTTTAACCACTGTACCACCAGAGCTGTTTATCTTTGACCCAAATCCATCAATTTCAAATACTGTGCTTATTTCCTCCCTTTTTATGTCTCTGAACCAAGAAATCATTCTTATTCTAGCAGTTGTCTGATAAAACATGAACATTTTAACTTCAAAAAAGAGCAAATAGAAAAGTTAAATAATTACAACAGAGATGTCTTAGTAAAAACCATTTAACTATAATATTTCAGAATTTTCCTTTTTTTCCAATAAAAAATAATAAGTAAAACCTTAAACTAAGTTCAATTACAGAATTTAACAGCCTGGTGTTTATTACCCAACTTGTGAAATTTATAACTTCACACCTCTAAGTAGACATAAAGCATACACATCCTGAAAAGGAAAAAGAAAAAGAAGAAACAAAAAACGTAAAAGCCCTATAAATAGAACCATTCTGTCCAGCAGACGCCAGATGGTAAGAAAGCTTTAAAAGGAGCCTGAATTTAAATGAATGGCTATAGCTTAAAAACATAGTCATATCTATAAAATTAAGGAGACTATAACTAGCTTTTATTTTTAAATATTCATAAAGACCTGAATAAAAACATCCTAAAACACGTATCTTTGTTTGCATCAAAACTATTTTAACAAGGGCAGGACACAAAATATTTACCTCAAATATTTCAACATAATTATTAATTAAGTCCTCGATTACATTCACTTCTTCACTAGTTTGTCCTTTAGTTTGAAACAAACAGGATGAAAAGGCCATGGCCAAATTATGAGCATTCATGTGATTGATTTCTGAGCATTTCTGTACCCTGTCAGAGAAAAATACAGCTCATTACGACTTGCTTCTATTTGAAAATTTCATAAAACTATAAGCCATAACACTCATGTATCATTTTTTTAAAAAACACACATATATTGAAGGCCTCCAATATAAAAGGTATAGTGATGATTCAAAGAAGAACGCATAGTTCTTTCTTCCAAGTAGTTTCCAGACTAGGTAAGGAAGATATTAGTACAAGTTACAAAGCAGTACTTGATTGTTGATTTAGAGAAGGGTCTGGACACATTCAAAGAATTCCAGACAACAGGAAAACCTGTGGCCAAGACATAAAGGTGTGTTTGAAAAAGTGTGAAAGTCTATGGGACTAGAGCATAGATGAAAAAGGTAAAACTGGACAGGATCTTAGTAGGAAACAAGGCAAGAGAGGTAGACGGGGAGGCGTATATAGCAAAGAGTTCCAAATTCCAGGTTCAGGTCTGGGCTCAGTTTTCAAGAATGTGCACAACAGCTTTGAGAAAGAATATCTGACAGCATGTGTTTGTTTGGTTATCTGAAATAGGATATTATGTCTCAAAAAGGAGACACTTGATTTTAAAAATACAACCGTACATTTCCTGGATATAAGAAGAATGGTTCTTTATAATGAAGTCATTTTTTCTAGATTTAGTTTCTTTATGTAATATAAGAAAGCTGGGCTAGATGATAAAATCAGGTCTCTTCTAGCTTTAGCTTTCTTCATGTTTCAGGAATCTCTGTCTTTGGAGAAGGGAGTTTTTGGGCCCATGCTGTCAGATATGATCAAGCAAGTCAACTCTCCCAATCAGTGGGTCACAACCCTCGGGTCTTACAATGAGCATTTAAAGTATTCACAAGTTAAAAGTAATACAAAATTACAACAGTCCCCCCAAGAAAGCAAACATCATATTAACAAAAATGCACTATATGAGAAGTGTGATGCATATGAAAATCTCTTTAATTCTATTTATTTGTCACTCACTGTGAATACAACAGCTGTTAGACTGCTTATTTAATTATATTTGAAGAATTTTAAATACAGGCTAAATAAAGGAGACCAAACTCTACCAAGTGAAGGGAATACAGCAAGATCAAGCTAAGTACTCATGTCTATAAAAGAGCATAGATTGTAGTAGGTACATAAAAAGTAAATAAATATGACAGCAATATATATGAATGCAAAACTCATAATAAAATGTTGAAGTGTATAGCAGAGACAGGTAAAGCAAGTGTGATCATCACATATGATTTACAAGATGCATAAGAAATGGGAAGTTAATAGAAGAGGATGGAATAATTGTGAAAACCCCTCTCATAACCACTGCTGTACTATTACTACACTAGATTATAAACATCTGGAATATTTATCTGCAATGTCTGCCTCTGTTAACAGAACCCAAACATCTCACAGCTAGACACTGTGGCTTTAATCATACTGTAGCTGAACAATAAATATTTGGTGAACAGAACTAAGTATTGTTAGTCATGGATTATTAGTCAAGAGAATGAATTAAATGCTAAGTCAACCTGATCTTATCCAACTTTTGACACTATCAACCAGCCTTTTCCTCCTTTAGACTTCTTTCTACACCATTCTCCTTTGGTACTCTGTTTCTTATCCTTAATCTCTGTGGTTGCCTTAATTTCTGGCATAAATGGGTGAAATATACTATTTCCTTTTCTTCCTTCATTTCTCTGCCCCCAGATGTTGGCATTCCCAAGTGTTCTGTGTTCAGCCTGCTCCTTCTTTTCTTATTCAGGCCCTCTATCATCAGAAGTCCGAGGAAATGGTTACATAATTTAGTCTCTATGCCTCTATTCTTCTTCCCAACCAACACCATCACAGGAGTTACTCTCCTAAAACAGATTTTATCAGTAACTCCTCATCACTTAAACGAATAAAATCCAAATGTCTTTCATGACCTACAAAGCTTTTCACAATCCCCTCCTGGCCAACTTTAACAGTCTCATCTCCTAGTACTCCTAGTTCCCAAAAGATACTCTTCACTCATTTTGCATACTAATCTTTCTTTCATGCCCAATTAATATGTCCTTTTCAATTGGGTCTCTATGAGTCGGAATCAACTGGACAGCAATTTTTTTTTTTTTCAAATTGAAGCATAGAAGCACTCCCTTGACCTCAGCACACAATTAATCACTTAATCTCTCCTCTATAAATCTGTATCACATACTAAATTTGTCTATATTAAGATTTATCCCAATATCTCATAGGCATAGAAACGGGACTACATATTATACAGACTCTATTTGCATGATACAATAAGAAAATCAGTCTCACAATAACAGATTTTTACTCAGAGCGACCCTACAGGATGGAGTACAACTGCTTCACAGGGTTTCCAAGGAGCAGCTGGTGGATTCGAACTGCTGACCTTTTGGTTAGCAGATAAGCTGTTGACCACTATGCCACCAGGGCTCCATATATGAGAAGTAGTAGTTAGAAAAGGCAGATAAAGAGAAAAGAAAACAAACTATTGACAATTTCTAAATCTAGATTCCAAATAAGGTACTGTTAGTAGAATTCAAAGGAGACCTGGTAGCACAATGGTTAAGCGGTCAGCTGCTAATCCAAAGGTTGGCAGTTCGAATCTACCGAGTGGCTTCACAGAAGAAAGTTCTAGCGATCTTCTTCCTTAAAAACTGCAGCCAAAAAACCCTCTGAGGCAGTTCTACTCACACATGGGGTTTCTGTGAGTCAAAACAGACTCAATAGCACCTAATAACAGTGAAATTCAGCTTCACAGAAACACTCAAGGGAGTATTTTATCTATGTAGTAAGCTACAAAAATTACTCTTTTAGCAAAATTTACATGTAAAGTCTTATTAAAGTTTGTATAATAATTCTTGCCAATAGAGAAATAAACAGACAAATAAACAAACCTTTAGTTTTAACTGAAAAGTTTATTTTCACACATCCTCATCCCTCAGACCTCATTTCTCATGTCACCATTATGCTCCTCCTATCTTACCAAATGCAGGGGGACTCCATGTTCTGACATAGACAGTGTTTTTACCTTTTAAAATTTCCTCATCTGATCAATGGTCTGACATCAAAATTGGTAAATTAAGTAATAATAAAGAGGTGAGAGGTTATAAACTGTCTACCACAAGAAAACATTGTGCTCACAGTGAGATTCCTGCAATAGAAGTCTGTCCCTGTACTTCCTCCCTCTCCAACTGCCCTCCCAAATGAGTTCTGAAATTCTTGCCTATGCAGTGCATGCACTGGAAGAAGCTCTATTTGATTATTTCTGACTCATTTAAGAAATTCTCTAGTATTACTTTTCTGTATGTGTAGGTTAGTTACACAAAAGAGAAGCTAAAGTGATAGTTTAACAGGAATTTCATTCTGAAAGAGTTTTTAAGATATGGTGAAAGACTCAGTCACTTGCAGAGGGTTAAACACACTTTAAATTTAAGAAATAATAACTTATTGAATACCACGTTTGAAATGTCTAGAAGAATTCATGCATCCACCCACCTGTAAAGGTGTTCAATTACAGCTGCCAGCGTGGCTCGATTGACCACTGGAAGAGAACGTATAAATGTGCCGTACTTTTTAATTCTTTCCTTGTCATCTTGTGTATCTGGAGAAAACAGAAAATCTTTAGGCCTACCTTGACACGGTAAATAATGATCTGTAGTATAAATTTGCCTTTTAACAGTATTTTAAAACAATATTCATAATTGTATTTCAATAAGTGAACAAGAAGATTTTAGTAGAAAAATATTCAAGCTGATAAAGTAATTACCTACAATATGGAAAAGCATGTATTTACATAAAGATCCCATGGCTGTATGCTATAGTTATTATACTTTATAATTAAAAATAAAGCACTTTTTGAAACTGTTGAACTTCACTTCTCAGGAATACATTCAATTAATTACTCAAATTAAAGTACAAATTAAAGAGATAAGCCAAAAGTATTTTAACTCCTGCTATGGAAAGGTTTCGTTATTTACATGTGAAAAATGACATTTCTGATTCTCTTCTCCTTATGAAATCATAAAACTCTTCTCAAAGTTATGAACCATCCCAGAGCTAGGAATTGCCTGCATTACTCCTCAGATCTATGTACAGGGCCACTTACCAGTCCTGTTAACTACTCAGACAAGATGAAGGGACAATCAGAGAAGCCATGTGCAGGCCATAGTAACTGTGATCCAGACTCAGAGGATGGACCCTTGACACTGTCGTGGACAGGACTTGGTTGGTTTGTGGAGAAAAAGATGAGGAGGAGTTACCAACCACTCTCCTGACTCCAAGATGTCAAATACCTAGAGAAACTAGAGGCAGGATCCCTCAAAGGTTTAGACCCTAGAGGATTCAGGGTGGCAGTCTGATCTAACCTCTTAGCTGACAGGGGAGATAAAAGACCATTCTGCAAATAAATAACTTGAGTTGACCCTAACTGAAGGGGACTGCATTCATACATTCCCTCTCAATTCTCAACTACATTTGGAAACATGACTTTTCAGTTCCTGCATAGCCCTAGCTATTCTATTCACAGAAAGCCAGCGGCACATTGCTGATTCTTTAAAAGCCCATGGTCACTTGTAAAGGCATTAGGATCCCTGGGGATGTAAGAAACTCCCTGACACATTTTTCAAGTATACACCTCTTCCAAACTGCAACCGATAATCTCTTTTGTAGCCTGCACATGAGATGTATAAAAGTTAAACATGGTCAGATTGACTTAACAGCACAGTAAATGATTCTCTAAAAACAAAGGGGGAAAAAAATCCACATTATATTTCTAGACTAAACTGAAAATGAATTCAGAATTATTTATGATCCCTGATATAGTCCAGGCTGGAGTCCTGGTCGCACAGTGGTAAACAGCTCAGCTGCTAACCAAAAGGTCAACAGTTCAAATCCACCAGCTGCTTCTTGGAAACTCCATGATATAGCTCTACTCTGTCCTATAGGGTCGCTATGAGTAGGAATCAATTCGATGGCAACTGGTTTTTGGTAATATAGTCCAAGGAGCGCCTAGGTGGTGTAAATGGTTAAGCACTGGACTACTAAACGAAAGGTTGGCAATTCAAACCCACCCAATGGTGTCTTGCAAGTAAGGCCTGGTAATCTGCTTCCAAAAAGTCACAGCCTTGAAAACCCTATGGAGCAGTTCTACTTTGCACACATGGGATTGCCATGAGTTGGAACTGACTCAATGGCAATAACAACAACAAGAAGAATAATTCAAATATTTATCCTCAAGTCATCCAGTTCCTAATTGTAGGGGTAACTGTATTCATTCAATAAAATTTAATTAATACTATATTAATAACAAATGTCCTACAAACTCAGTTAGTATATATTTTCACATATCTTATAAGAATAGATAATATTGAAAAAATAATGCTAAACCATTTGAAAGTAAAACTCAGGAAAAGATTTCAGGTCATATAAAAAACACAATGAGTAATTTAACTTTGTACAGAAGTCAGACAATGTAAAGGTTCTTAGAAGAATAGGTCATATATCATGTAAATATGTGGTATGCCACTGCAAGGCAGTCTTGGACTTGGGTCTCTAGGACCCTAGAGAGTTCTCCTATAAGGTCACCCAGAGATTTCTGTATATCCTTGTCAGAACAAAGATAAGACACTTTTGGTGGGTCTGTATGAGCTATAATGGATCTAAATGCAAAGGATTTAAGGATATTTAGCCCAGGATTCAAATTAATCTCCAAGGGAATTCTCAAAGCATTTATAGCCAGGTGAAAAGCGAATACATTCCTCTGACACATGCCTGCCGCTTGCCTGCCAACTACTTCCTCCTGGAAGATGACAACAGTAAAGACCTCTTTATCATTGGATCTGACAACTTCAGCAAAAGCCTTCTGATACAGATTTTTGACACCTGATTTTACAAAGACAAAAGATAAGTCCTTGTAATATAGGTACTATAACCTCATAGTTATAAATTACAATAAAATCTGCTAAAAAAATGAGGGTGTAAGTAGCTGGGCTTAAAGAAATGCATCTCATTCCACACATTACATCCAAAAGTATACAATCAATCAACTTTTCTTGTGATTAGAGTTAACCCCATTACTTTGAAAAATCTTGGGAAGGAAATGACAGACTTCTGAATTAAGTAGTTAAATATGAAAAGCTTTATTTTAATAACAATATTACTCTCGTTTTACTAACCCTAACAAGGTTCATTCCTTGAGATAATTTTCAAGCTGTGGATGTTTTATGACACAATTCATAATTAATCTCTTCAAATGTCATTTACTTAAGTTTTAGACTAAACAAATAGTTTAAGTTAAAAAACCTATTTTTCAACAGAGTATCATACAGTCAAACTTAAAGCCCATTTTATAAAAATTCTTGAAACATTAAATTTACAAAAGTAAAATAGATTGGTAAATTATGGTATAATTCAATAATAAATTTAAAAAACAAAAAATATTAAGACAAAATTACAATTTTGAAAACTTTGTAGAAATATGGGAAATGTTTGTGGCATATTAAGTAAAAATAAAGAAGCTATATATGTAAATTATTCATATGTGGGGACAAAGACTATAAAATACATGCAAAAAACAGCTTTATTAGAAAGATGAGATTAAAGGCAACATTTATATTTAAAGTCTTTATTGTAATATTGCAATAAAAAGAGCTGTTATGAATTAATGGATATAAAAAGGGGTTTTACTGAAATCAGCTTGTCCCCATGAGTGATAACTACTTTTCTAGGATCATTTCTTAAATAGGTTCTATTATAGATTAGTAAAGCTTCTTTACTTCATTAGACAGCATCTAGGGTAAATGAAGTTAGAAAGAATGAAAAAAGTGTTATGAACACTAAAGAGGTAGAATAAATCATAGAAGAAAAGCAAAAGGATCATATGGAGAAATCTTACAAAACTAATCTTCTATTAAACTCTTCATTTTATCCTTAATGAGAAATTAATAGCATACATGGATTTGAATATGGTACTTCCAAATTTAAAACAAAGTAAGCATTAAGAAATTTATTGAAAACTAAGTATATAAAACACTATTTAGCAATTATTATTAGCTTTAATTTAGCTTTCTTTTGTGGTAGAAACAAACAACTGTTAACATTTCACAAGTTCTGTTTGAAACCATTATGCACATTGTTCAATTAAATCTTCAGATTATCAAAAAAGATTGAAGAAAAAATCTAAGTATCAAATTAAAAGGTAAGCATTTATTATGTTCTACATTATATGTATTACCTAAGGCAGAGATCCAATATGGATAGAGCTCCTTGGTAAGAAGTGCATCGTCAATGTCAGAGAGAAAACTTTTCAACACGCCTGTAACATCCTCAAGCTGATGTTTTCCAGCCCTCAGCTTAAAACTTCGTGCGTCCTTTTTGAAACTCTCCAGGAGTTCACTTACGTGCAAAGGATCACCATTCTTTTGATAGATATATTTGCTTCCTAAACCTTTGTTTTCAAATAAAGGTAATAAGAAGAAAAAATGTTAGTTTAAAATCAAAATCTACTTTGATATTTAAAAAAAATAGAGCAAATTTTTGCATTAGGATGATGAACAAGATGAAGAAATCATTACCCAAAAGAGCTGACATAAACACGTATGCAGGGAGAAAGTCTTTATTGCCAATTTTAGTCATTAGCAAACCTGATGAACCAATATTCCATCCTCAGCTTTTAGCAAGCCCCTGATCAGTCCTTTCTCCAGTTCTCCATAGCATCTTTTTCAAGTGCTCTTTTACTTCAAGTGACCTATCTGCCCTTACTCTACCAAAATCTAACCTTGCCTCCAGTTTTACAGACTCTCTGATATCAAGGCTCTCTTATACCAAGTTCCCCAACTTCCTGCTCTCACATTGGTATATTAGTTTTTCCCCACCTGCACCTTATTCCAGATGAAGAACTGGGTCATGTCCATTTCAAAGTTACTGAGTCATCAAGTGGCCAATATAAAGAGGAGTAGTAGCAGTGAGTAGGAGGAGAAGTGGTGGTGATGGGAATGATGATACAAATAGAAAATCCTCCTTTCTTCCCTCCTGGGTCTCTTGTCCCTCTTCCTTTCAAAATCAAGCTACGTTTCCTATATTTATTCTTTCTAAGGTTTTACATCCCTGTATTCCTTTTATCACATAATGTTGCTTCTGTGTTCAATTCCCACTCTATTGGAACCATCTTCATCTGGAACAGAAGTGATTATTTTTTAGATGCTTTTATTTCTTTCTTTTTTTTTATCTTATGAGAACATCCTGCAGCTTTTGACATGAGAAATTATTTTCTGTTAAAATTCTTTTAATCCCATGGCTTTATGACATCACGATCCCACATCTCTATTTCCTTCTTCCGTGGCTACTCTCCCAGTCTTCTGTTATTCAGCTTATCTAGGACTAACCAATGATACCAGGAACCCATCCTCAATTCTTTTTCTCTTTCCCCCTCTACAAAATCTTCTGGGTAACTTCATCCAACCTCATTGCCTCAATTACTACATACACATTTTTGCCCAGGTTTTAATTTCTAGAATTACACCCCCACAAATACCATCTACATATGCATATACACATATATCACATATATACATATAAATAAACAAATCAAAATAAGAAGAATTAATTCTCCTGTCCCCTCCACCATCTCACTTCCAACCTCAACATGTTCTTCATCTTGTTCCTCTATTTTAATATATGGCATTACCTTCTCCTCAACCTTTCACAAGTCAAACCTTTCTTTCTCACTCATTAAAAAAAATTTGTATGTCATGTATACTCTTCATCATGTTCTCTCTCTCAAAACTGTCCCCTTCTTTCCATCCACATGCTATTATTTTGTGCACTCAATTCCTCACTACATTTTTCACAATTTCCTATCTCCATTTTTGGGCAGCCCTCCAATGTGCCTCTACAACGATGACAGAATGATCTAAGATACAAGTCTGTTGGTGTTACCACAGTGCTTAAAAATATAAATACACCATTTCTTCACTTACTATCTTGTTATCCAACATTTTACTTTTACAATAGTAAAAAATCTACTACCCTACTATTTTGTGCATTAATGACATATATCTGGCAGTAATGAACATTAATGCCAAGGTTCGAGGTGAGAATAACACTGACTTTGATGGTTATGAGGTAACTTGGCTGGGCTATGATTTTCAGTAGTTTGACAATTACATAGTGATATAATCTGGCAGTTATATAATGATTTAGTCATCCTCCATTTTCGCATAACACCGATTTTGCATAATGACCTGGTCTTTGGAACCTAACCATGTTGATAACTGAGAAGAGGGTGTACTACCATCCCAATTGCCTATATGGAAAAAAATTGAGGACTTTATAATGATAAATGAGACCCTACATTAACTGGCCTAACTCTCCTGCCTCTTTTATCCACATCTTCACACACTAAGCGCTGGTCACATTTAACTACATGAAGTTCCCTGAATAATCTTTTCTGATGACTCTGCACCTCAACACACCTTGTTTTCTCCTCCTGGAATCCTTTCTCCCTTCTGCGAACTAGTTTCTATTTTCCCTTTAGACTCAGTGCACCATGTCTCACTCATAGGGGCCTCCGTGACTACCCCTAGTCTGGATGAAATTTATCTCCATATCATGAACACCTATAGCAATCCCTGAATCTCTCAACCCTGGAATTTTTTTAAATGAGATGTAGCTGTATGCCCACTTGTTTGTCTTTCATCTATAAATCTATAAACTCCTGGAAGGCAAGAATTATGTCTTGTTCTCTGTATACATACAGCACCTACACAATGCTTTGAAGAACTCAGTAGGAATTCAGTAAATGAATGCTGAATGCAAGAATAAGCAAATTCAACAAAAGACAAGTGTGACTAAGTTTCTGAGAGATTATGGTCCAGCTGAGTAAATTTTTAATAACTAGTACTCTAATAAATTAATTTAATATGAATCTGAACATAATTTTGTTTATACAAACTAATTCCAGCCAAGAATTGTTGTTAGGTGCAATTGAGTTGATTTCGACACACAAGAACCAGATACTGCAATTCATAAAAATAAACAAAAAGCAAAAAAGAATTTAAACCTAAAACATACTGTGAACTCAGTATTCTGACTAAGTTAAAACCTTGACACTACAAGCATAGATTTTAAACCAAAGGTTAGGGTAAGTTAAAAATAACTGCTATACTTTTTTTTATTGTGGTTTCATATATGTATGTATATATATATGTATATATGTGTGTGTGTAAATAGGTACATATATATAACAAAAATTATGCCATTTAAACCATTTTTAAGTGTAGAATTCAGTGACGTTGAATATATTCATCATGTTGTACAATTACACTACTGCCTATATCCAAAAGTTTTTCATCACCCGAAACAGAAACTCAGAATCCCTTAAGGAATAACTTGCCATTTTCCCCTCTCCCCAGCCCCTGGTAACCACTAATAAACTTTTGTGTCTATGCATTTGCCTATTATAGATATTTCATAAAAGTGAGATCATATAATATTTGTCCTTTTGTGTCTGATTTACTTCACTCAGCATATTTTAAGGTTCATCCATGTTGTAGCATGTATCAGAACTTCATTTCTCTTTATGACTTAATATTATTCCATTGTATGGATATACCGCATTTTGTTTATCCCTTCATTTGTTGATGGACACTTGGGTTGTTTCTACTTTTTGCCTATTGTGAATAATGTTGCAATGACTATTGGTGTACAAGTATCTGTTTGAATCCTTGCTTTCAAGACTATTGGGTATATACCTAGGAGTTAAATTATTGGGTCATATGGTAATTCTATGTTTAACTTTTTGAGGAACTGTCAAGATGTTTTCTACAGAGGCCGTACCACTTTACATTCCTACAAGCAATGCATGAGAGTTCAGATTTCTCCATATCCTCTCCATTTGGTTATTTTTCATCTTTCTGATAATAGCCATTCTAGTGGGTTTGAAGTGGTATCTCATTGTGTTTTTTTAATTTTGTTTTTATTGTTGTTGAATATATACACAGCAGAACATATATCAATTCAACAGTTTCTACGTGTGCAATTCAGTGACAATGATTACTTTCTTTGAGTTGTGCAACCATTCTCACCCTCCTTTTCTGAGTTGTTCCTCCCCCACTAACATAAATTCACTGCCCTCTAAGGTTTCTATTTAATCTTTTGAGTTACTGTTGTTAATTTGATCCCATACAGATAGTTCTTAAAAAAAGCATAATGCTCAAGGCAGATATTTTTTAGAAGCTAAGCTAAACTACTCTTTGGTTTTAAGAAGACTTCAGGGGATATTTTTGGTTCAAGGTTTAAAGTTTATCTCACGGCAATAGTTTCAGGGGTTCATCCAGCCTCCATGACTCTAGAAAATCTAGAGTCCAGGGGAACGTGAAATTCTGTTCTAAATTTCCCCCCTTTTGATTAGGATTCTTCTACAGAATCTTGGCTCAAAATAAAAATAACTGCTATCTTGAAAGCCCTGAGTCAGCCACTTGCACTGTGCTTTTCTAGGTTCACATCAAATCTTCCCTTTTACACATGCTGAAAACATTGGGACTTTTCCCCATGTTCTGCTCATTAAAAAAAAATAATAATAACAACAAAAAGAATACATAAACAGTATTTCATTGGCTTTATTATTTTTATATGCAAGTTAATTCGCCTTGTGCTAGAGTAATAAAGAAGTTATAATATATGAAATTTAGTTGAAAACAATCTAATGCTTCGTGATTTTAAATTCAAATCAATGCCACAAGGAAACTTCTGATTTCCCTAGAGGAATATTAAATTGACTACACTGAAGCTAGTCAAGTTATTTTAATCATTTGTCAGTTTAAGAAAGACTCTATGCCACTATGAAAAAAACATTATATGAAATTTCGCAATGCTCTTGCTAAAACATACTATGTGTGCAATTCACATACACCTGCAAAACTCAAGTGCTCTAAGACTGAATGACTGTAAGAAATGAAAACAATCACCTTGTTTCTCTTCCATTTTCTAATAAACAGATGATTTAAGAAAAAATATAAACAAACTATCATAGAAAGGAACTTCATATAGTAATGTTCATGTAAGTGATCACATATATATTTAAACATATATAATACCAACATAAACACAGTGAATCGGGACATTAATGATAATTGTACTTGGATTACATACAAAATAAGTAAGATACTTAAAATGGCATCCCCCAGAATAAAAAAGAATATACACATACATAAATTTATAATTTCCTAAAATCATTTTCTTCATAGCATTTGTCATTTTCTGAGATTCTGCCACATATCAGTTAACTGTCAGTTTCCCATACTAGAACATAAGATCATGACTTTGTCTTTAACTTTTTACCCTACTGCTGTATTTCTAGTACTGAGACCAGTGGCTGGCATACAACAGGCACTCAATAAAAGGAATGAACTGATAACACAATGTTTTACTGCAGTGCTCTCACTGATTACAACTGCTTTTCAAATTAAAAACACCCAAAGACGCCTCTGATATTATGGAAGCAAAAAAAGTTAAGACACCTTTCAAAATACCAGATCAATCAGTTTACTTTTTCCACATTTGTAATCTAAACAAATGGCATTTATCTACAGATTTAGAAGTGTAAAACATTTTTATATTAGAAATACATTTAAGAAATTTCTTTTGGAGTATTAAGGAAATGTAACAGAAAGAATGAATTCAAGGGATTCATAATAATTTGAAAATATACACGAGCAATAAAGGTTACTTTACAGGCATATCTAAAATATTTAATAGCATATTAAAATTTAACATGCTATGGAAATATACAGGTGGATATACAGGCATAGCTCAGGTTTTTTTTTTTTTTTACTTGCAGATTGTTTATAAAAATATCTGTTGTAAATAAGCCAAAATATTAAAATTATTTAATATAAATATGTGACCTATAGCATGTTAAATAAAATACACACACACATTGTATGCACGCTCATGAAAAGCAATTTCTTTTATATATTATTCCATAGTTCACACTTCTAAAAACACGCTTAGCACATTGAGTTACTCTGGGCTTTTTTTCTAGGCTTGTAATCTCTGAAAAATAGTCTTTTATCTACTATTTTTAACCTATGTTTTACAGTATAGGTTTTTTTCAATATGTTACTTAAAAATTCTATGCATGAAAGGAAGAAGGAAATGGTAAATATAACTATAAAACGAAACAGTATACAGTTTGAATGAGTTTTACTGGGAGAAGGAACAGCAGTTGACTGAACAGTGACTGTTTTTATTTTTCACTGGTGTACTTAACAAATACAAAGGACTTTAATTTGGTCCAATAGAGGTACCACTTAAAAACTGTAAGAATGATACTGAGTTCTGGGGGTTGAGTTAAAAACTCTGTGATACTTACCGTACTGTGTAACAAATGCTACACAGCTGTTCACGATAATGGGAACGTCGTTTTTGCTGAGCTGCTGATCTTCTAATGCATTACCATCTGTACCTGCTGCTTTTTCAATTGCAGTACGCCAGATTGTGAAATCCAACTTGGTATGTCCATGGATGTATAATGTTCTGTAAAGTTTAAAAAGCATTTCAAATTGAATATTTCAAAAAAAAAATCTTACTTCAAGATAGATTACACTTAAACCCATATTAACGTGCTCCTGTCTCATTCATCATAAGAAAAACTCTCCCATTACCCTCCATCTACCATTAGCTTTCATTCAATCTCTTTTTTGCGTATATAGTCGTGCCTCTCTATAGAGTAGAGGAATTTGTGATCTCACCTTATTTCATTCTCAAACCCCCGTTATTCTGTTTCTCAATAACTAAACTGAAACTGTCCTAGCAAGCATGATCAGTGACTTCGAATGGATATTTCTGGGTGCACTTTTCAAGACTTTAGAACTGATGATGATTCCATTTCTTACAAGGAGGAAAAATTACTATCCAGTTTGGCTTTTAGAGCACAGTTCCTCCTGCCTTTCGTCCTATCTTTCTGGTCTCTTGGTCTGTTTCCCAAGCTTACTTCCTCTTTCTGAATAACAGGGTTGTAATCAGTATACCCACAAACTCCAAGGACTCTCCAGGGACATGTCATCATGGCCAGTGGTTTCATCTCCCCTATGAAAGTTGGTAACTCCCAGATCCCTATCTCTAAGCTATAACTTTCTCTCACAAATCAGATCTCCATGTGACTGAAAGGCAAGATCATACAGCAGTTAAGAGGGCGGGAACTACAGCCAGATTTTCCAAACTCAAAGTTTAGCTCTGCCATTTACATCCTTTGTGACCTTGGACAAGTTTTGTCATCTGTAAGATGAGGATAATAATAGTACCTATCTATCAAAAACCCATTGCCATTGAGTCGATTTCTACTCATAGCAACCGTATAGGACAGAGCAGAACTGTGCCATAGGGTTTCCAAGGCTGTAAAGCTTTATGGAAATAGACTGCCACATCTTTCTCCCACAGAGCAGCTGGTGGGTTTGAACTGCTGATGTTTGGGTTAGCAGCCAAGTGCTTAACCTCTGTGCCACCAGGGCTCCTTGTACCTACCTAAGCACTCAGTAAGTGTAATAATAACATTTAAGTAATAAACAGTAATAATAATAACTAGGATTTATTTTTGGACATTACCTTAATGAGCAACAGGCATCTCAAACATTTCTCCTTCACCATACTAATCTGCCCTTGGCACCATTTGTTTAAAAAACAAAAAACAGTTGTCCTTGAGTCAATTCTGACTCAAAGCGACCCTATAGGACAGAGCAGACCTACCCCATATGGTTTCCAAAGAGCAGCTGGTGGATGCAGCCGAGCGCTTAACCACTGTGCCACCAGGGATCCCTTGGCACCACAATTCCCCACTAATCCTACCAGGAATTTAATTAATTGTGGGTTGGTTTCTTTCCCCAGTCACTGCCACATACATTTAGTCACAAAATTCTGTTGACTCCAGAGTTCTGGCATCTCCACTCGGTCTTCAACTCATTCTAACATTACCTCACTGCATGTCTTCATACTGCTTGTTTAGGTCATTACAACTCCTAATAGAATCTCTTTTCCTGTTCTCCATCCCTTTAATCCCTATTCCTCATTGCTGCCAGAATGATCTTTCTAAAATGCAATGCTAATGATATTACTTCTTAATCAATGTCCTTCTACAGCTCCTGAGATTTCAACACTAAAAGGCCTTTGAAATGTGGCCCTTATTTTCCCCTCCAAATTTATCTGACATTCCTCTACATTCAAGACAATCAAGGAGGGAGGGAGAAGGGGGACTTGTCTTTGCAACAAATATTTCCTATTCTTTTTTTATTATTACTATTGTACTTTAGATTAAGGTTTGTTTACAGAACTAGTTTCTCATTAAACAATTAGTACACATATTGTTTTATGACACCGGTCACCAACCCCACGACATGTCCACACTCTCCCTTCTCAACCTTGGGTTCCCTATTACCAGCTTTCCTGTCCCCTCCTGCCTTCTAGTCCTTGCCCCTGGGCTG